TCCAAACAAACTGCAAATCACAACAAGATTGAGCTGAGACAAAGTTTGTACAAGAATAAATGAAGTACTAGTGTTTATTGAGTTTCCAATCTTCAAACATTGTTTTTCCCTTATTGACCACAGCTAAGTACCAGTATTAGTGACTGTGGGACACACCTGATTTTACTCCTTGTTCCATTTCTGTTAATTAGGCGATATCAGTGTCATTGGTCAACAATGTGAAACAATAACATACATAGTTATTTAGCACTTATATAATTTGTTCTTGTTACATAGTGTCATAGCTCAAAGTCCTTTAGATTGATGGTCTGGCACAGTTAGTAGCTAAGTGAAGTTGGATTTGAAGATGAGAGTGCAGAGTCAAGAGGAGAAACCACTTGTGGAGATAAAGTGGAGATGGTGTGAGAGGTAGGATCTGAACCATTCAAAGACAGAACCATGAAGGTTGAGGGGAGGCGGTGGAGGAGGATAGAGTGGTCAATGGTATCGAGTGAAATTCATTGACTAGGAGACAGTAGAGCCTGACAAGGATGGGAGTGATAGACATATGAAACTTAGAACGACTGTATTTTGGATGAATTGAGCTTGTAGATGCTAGAGCTAGGGAGGCTAGCGAGGAGGCCATTGAAGAAGTTAAATCTGGTAATGGAGGCACGGCTAAGGACAAATGAGGTGTGAGATAGGGATGGGTGCTGTGGTGAAGATAAAGAAAAGCATCCTTGGACAAGGACCAGATGTAAGGAAGGAAAGAGATTTGAGGGTCAAACAGAACACCATAGTTACACACTGACACAATGAAGTGGAGAGAGCATCCAGAGATGGGGAATACATCGCTTTACCGAGTTTTTTCCCCCATTTTGCATATTCCTTAAAGACACCTCCATTTATTTTATTGTAGACTTGTACCTGCAAAGAACGGTAAATACACAAGGGACACTAATAATAATCCTTGCATTTGATATAGTGTCTGATCATGTCTTCGAGATGTCTCAAAGAGTTTCACAGAATATACTGTGAATTAACTGTATATTTTGTGGGCGAAATGCGGCAGCCGATTGCGCACAGCAGTGTCCCACAAACAGTCGTGGATTGTGACCAAATTATTTTTTTTTGGGTGGAGGGATCACTTACTTACTGCTTGGTAAACAGAGGCTTATGGAGTAAGGAAACCTGCCTAAGCTTTGCCCTGCCCGCTAATGGAACCCGGGTCCTCTAACCCGGGGAGTGCTCTAACCACTAACCTACAGGACTCTACTAAATAGAAAAGCAACTGCTTTCCCTTTAATATATGAAGTAGATTTTTAACCCAAGTACAAGTAAAACTAGTGTACTAACCCACTGCATTACTGAGCCTACTGTTATATTAACAAATTGTGTTTTTAAAAAAATGTAATACAATCCGTATTCATCTTTCGAATAACCAGCTAGATTAGACTTTCTACAACTGTTACTCAATGGAAGAAACAATCCAATGAGTACACATTTTCTGTGATTTAAAAAAAATCTTTCCTGCCCTCCACCCCTATTTCTGTGCCCTTATACGTGCCTCACCAACATTCCTCCACCTTCTCCAGCCTGCAAAGCCAGATCCCTTCCAGTTCCAAGTTTCTTGATGCCGCTCCTCAATCAGCAAGGAGGCGGCAGGTCAAACTGGATGTGTTATTTCAGTGGCTCTTTCTTGAATGTATTTTACAGCAACACACAATCTGATTTGTCGCATTTCATTCTTGCAGTAGGTAAAGGTCAGTACTTGCCTTGAGAATTAAGTTGTAAAACTGTTAAAGACTGTGCTGTTACTTAACGGAAACCGATAAGAAAAACTGTAAATCACGTTCAGTCTTTTAACACAAACAGGAACAGCCCCTCCAACAATGGTAGGAAGCTCAGCAAAGTGACCTTTTTTGAATTTGGAAAGCAATGAATCAAATTTACTGAATCAAATCATTAGCTGGTACTGCTTGGGACTTTTTAGAATTACCATACGTTTCAGATGAATGTGAAGATATTTAACTGCCCTATAATGACAAAGTTAGTTAGCATTTGGCCAACTTCGTTAGAAGAATTTCCTTGTTGAGCGATCAGATATTTTAGACATGTTAACAATTTTAGGCATTTGTTAACATCCAATAGGATTATTAGATAATACTGAGCAGTCAATGCTTAAAAACATAATGGAACAAGAATGATTATACCAATTTTTTTTAAAAAAGAAAACAATTGATTAGGTAGGTATCTCTTTGTATCTAAAATGAAAGATTTGCTTACATTAATTTTAAACAGTTGTGCTATTAAGCAGTTTAAAAAAATACATTATTGTTAAAAAAGACTAACATCTTGGAAGTTGTTTCTGTTTCAGTCTTGTTATGAAAATGTGCTTGTTAAGGGATTCTTGTCCTTTTCTAGTGGTTAGCATGTGCCTCGCAAATGAGGATCTGGGTTTGATTTCCAGGTGGGGCGAAACCTTAGATATTTGGATTAAGCACAACTGTGTGCAATTGGGCTGCTGTTTCGCCCACAAAATACAGTAAATCCACTTTACAATATATTCTGTGAAACGCTTTAAGAAGTCTCAATATTATAAGGCACTATATCAAAGGCAAGGATTATTATAACTTATATTTTAAAAAGTGAAACATTGGAGGTGTTTTAACTACCCGACATCCTTATTATTATCTAATCACCAGTAAATGTATTTTAGAATTCAATGTTCGATCTAGATCATTGTTGAGTGCGGACAACGATAGTTTAATTATGATCTGAACTGATCGGTCAAATAAATCATTTTTGCATCATACTTAATTTAAACATGTGGACTAGGAGCTCGTATGGAGTAATCATTTTTAATTATTCCAATAATATGACTTAACAGTTAAGGCTATTTGATTCCCGAGTTAAAGGTAGCCAGTTTGGGTTCATTTTTACTGCGGAAAAAACAATTTCAACGTTTTAGCAATCCATTTGGTTATCCCCAGTCAATCCATTTGGAAGTTTAAATGTCTCATCATTTCTTTTGAACTGAAGATCCAATTGTGAGGAAAAAGTCATTATTAACTCAATATGAATTTCAAGATGTCTTGATAGTATAGCAACAAGGGATATTGTTCCCCCTCCAACCCTTTATGTAGTTAAATGTCCAATTGTGACTTCCAGACAGAATGCAAAAAGGCGGGGCAAATTCTTCCACATGGAAGGAAATCAATCACTCACTCTTGGCTCATTTTGGTTGAAAGCAAGCTAGAATTAAGAAAAGCTTACAAACGGGGTGAACATAAACTTGATAGGCACAAATACCATCCAAGTTAAAAACATTTGCTCCACAGGAAACTTTTAAATATTTTCCTTTATCCAATACAAATTCTATTCAAGCCTAAACTTAAAAATTCAAAAGAGGCAAATTTACTTGATTGTTTAATCACATTTGTTTGTTAAAACAGAGAAAATATTTAGCTTGACAAACAGAACATCTGAATATGTGCACCGATTAATGTTACTGTGGAAATTAAGACATATCCAGTAGAAAATGAACTGCCCAGTATTTAACTATCCAAGATTATTGATGTCAAATTAATCTTTGCATTTGTATTGTAGTATCTTATCACAATGTCTCAAAGTGCAGTGATTCTGTATTTGTAGGCAAATGCAGTAGCCAATTTGCATACAATATTTCACACCATTATCAAATGAATAGCCAATTAATTTGGGAGCTTGTTGGCCAGGACACCTGGAGAAACTCCCTTCCGTTTTCCAATGTGCCATGGGATCCATTATGTCCACCCAAACAAGCAGATTTAATATCTAATCTGAAGGACTGGCACCTCAAAATACAGCAGCATTCTCCTTCGTGTCACCCTAGACCAGTGGTGCCTAAGTTTTATGGTCAGCCAGCCAGCGTTTCTTGATTGAAGTCAAATCAAATCAAGAAAAAAAAACTGAAACACACAACACACTACCACTCGCAGTTACCCAAGACTCTTGCGAATGTTCAGGGTGGGGGGACTTTGTTGACAGCCCCACGGGGGCCACAATCCCTGGCCTAGACGATAAGTTCAAAGTCCCATAATGAGACTGCACCTGTACTAACAACTGAGCCAGATTGACTCGTAGTATTCAGTGCCAGTAATTTTATGAAGGATTTATGTCTGAAATTTTGCACATTAAAATGTAGTTTTATCAAATAGCTGGAGAATTGAGATGGGTGAATGTTTTTTTTCTCACTTTTAACAGAACTAAATTCTGTACAAACTTGTTAATATGCTTTACATTGCTGTAAGTATGAAATGAGTTGTGTTGAGGTCAATGCACACTTGTCTATATTGAAACATCTGCCATTTTGAGAATGTAATGTGGTACACAAACCTATCAAACCCAGATAGTTATTGCAAAATTCAACAGGTACAAGTCCTTTACATACACTTCTGTGTAAGTGCAGAGAAAAAAAATGCTGATTCACAGGAGTAGGTGGCAAAGCACCAATGGAAGATTCAAAATTCCTCCATCTGGAAATCAATAGTAGGAAACATTCCATATAGTAAAACTGATGAATTTCTTTAAGAGCAAGTTTGCTAATTGAAAGCAATGGTGACATATTAATGCAAAAATACCTGACAGGTCAAAGTGTTAACAAGTTAGGAAAGTTTTCAAAATAGATCCATATTGGCTGGAATTCATTTTCACTATCATTCATTGTTTTAGATCTTGATGTTACACATCACTTATAAGTGCATGCAACTTAAATAAAAATCAAAGTGCCTCATAGCTTTAATATAGTTTTGACTATTTTGAAGTGAATAAAATATGGACTTGAATAATACATAAAGCACCTGCGTTCAGTTAAGTTTCTACCTTTCACCTCTGTCAAATGTCAAGTATATTAATACCTTTCCCTTTTCAACATTAAAGATTTAGCTACCTTGAGTGCAATCATTGACATTCTCAAATGAGTCATCACCTGTATACTCTCTCACCTAAAGAATGAACCAAATAATAAAAACACTAAGTCGAAACTTTATTCACATTTATTTTTTTCGCTTTTAGTGTGCTCACAGAAAATTAGAACACCTTAAGCAGAGGAGTTTAATAGCAATTTTGTAAGCAAAGTTACATTCCATTTCTAAGTCAAATTGGTCAAAGCTTCTCCAGTATTTACAAAAACCATGATAGACAAGATGCTACACAAAACGCATTGCATCTGAAGAGTTTTCCCAATTGTCAACAAAGACGACTGAAAAAAGCATTGACTGCTGTAACCAAACATACAACAGTATATAAACAGCAACCATTCCACTTATCACAGCTTTTTCATTTAAATTTGATTTTAAAAGATCTTCCAAGATGACTGCAATTTTACAAAATGGGCAGGGTGAAAAGTTGCAAACTTCATGTGCTTCTTGATATTAAGTTTTTATTTATACATAATCACAGTTAAAAACACCCTGCTGTCATACATAATTACACTTTAAGGTCATGAACCAGCAATAAACAATAACGCCTATACAACTTGTTTTTTTCTACTTATCACGTTGACTTGTACAGCTAAAATGAGATAAGTGAAAAGTTTCTATGATTTAAATGTATTACTAAAAACTATTGATTTTCTGGTACGGATTTCCTTGCCCTCTTGAATTCAAGACTTTAGTGTTGTAAACGGTATGGTATATCTTTCACAAGATTTGTAATATTTTTTAAAAAGACTAATCCTTTACATCATTAACTTGTGGCACATTCACTTGGCAACTGCACCGCTGCATTGTGGCTCCAATATTACTTCATTTACATGTTACCCAGGATTTACCCACCCAGATTATCCACACCATTGGACATGTCCATATATTGACCAAAAAAAAGTTTAAACTTTTGTATAAAATGATGCAAAATATGCAAAAAACAGTAATACTGATGCAAAAAAAAAATCATGACAGAGCCAGATTTGGGGGCTCATCTCTGCCTGTTGGAATGGTGGTAACAGAATGAATGCAATGGGATTTTTAAAAAATAAAAATGCCTTTTTAAATCCCTGGTTAAGACAGTTCTCCAAACCAGTACCTGGCACCACTCCAACAAACAAACATGGAAAAAGGTCCTTTGATTATCACTCCAGTTATACTTTTACTCTGCTGAGTTGGCAGCTGGTGCTTTGGGACTAGACTCAGATGGTGCTTCTTGCGCTACAGCTGGCTCCTGCGCTGCTGGTGGCTCCTGCACTGCTGGTGGGGCTGCTTCTTTCTCAGCTGTAGATGCTTCAGCACTTGGGGCTGGGTTGGATGGGGCTTTCTCCGCCGCAGGCTTCTCGTCATTGGCCTTGGGCTCCTCCGCAGCTTTGGTTTCCTGTCCTGCGGTGCTCTCGGGGGCCTTCTCCTCGGGTTTCTCCTCTGGGGAGGCACTGGCCTCCTCTTTCTTCTCATCCGAGGTGCTCGCCCCAGAAGCAGCTTCTCCCTCCTGGGCAGGTTTGGGGTCCTCGGCGGCAGTGCCGGCCTCTGGTGCCGCAGCACCGGCCTGATCCTTCTCCCCTTCCCCGGAAGCAGCAGCTGTAGCCGCAGCTCCTTCGGTCTCAGCACTCTCGCCGGTCTCCTTCTTGGTCTTCTTAAAGGAGAAGCCACTGAGCTTGAAGGATTTCTTGAAGGAGAAGCGCTTCTTCTTTTTCTTGGGGGTGTCGTTGGTCGCTGGGCTGGGAGCAGCAGCCGCTGCCCCTTCCTCGGGTTTCCCAGTGACTTCTCCCTCTGCTGGGGAGGGGGTGGCCACGGCTGGAGCCTCGCCAGTCTCCCCGTTGGTCTCTTGCTTGGTGGCCGGGGGGCTGCTACTGTTCTCTCCTCCGCTGCCACTGCTGACGGCCTCCGCCGCCACCGCCGGCTCCTCCTTGCTCTCCTCGGCCGGGGTGGTCCCGTTCGCCTGCACCTCGTCCTTGTCCGCAGGCTCGGCGGCGGCGGCGGCTGCTGGGGAAGCGTCGCCGTTCACCTTCACATGGCCATTCTCCTGCAGACACGAGAGAGACACACAAAATGGTGGGTTCAGACAAGGAGGAGATAAGAGGCGACACACAGACTCGCTCACAAAATGGCATGACGCGCGTATACGTGAAGCAACGTCCACATGGGGAGAGGGAGGGAGCGCTTCCTTTACCACTGTGAAGAGGAGGGAGAGATGCTGCGACCACTAGTACCAAGTACACAGCTGGAGGAACTGGGTGGCTTTTGTGTATTCCGCCTTCAACTCCCACCCTCCAGAAACCTACCGAATACAATCAGGAACGATTTTCGAACGCAATCGGAATTAAGTCACCGGGAGCAGCCAGAATTTGTTATCAAACACGGTCCGCGCCGTGTCCGTACGCTAATAAGACGCTCCCAATTGCACCAGCTTCAATCTCAACGCGATCCACTCGACGAATTAGCACCAAGACCGCACCGCCGAAATTCAACCCCTCCGATCGTGAGCAATCAAGTGATTTTTATTCGATGGATCGCCCCCCCCCCATAATAGGATGTTATATTCTACACTGACCTAGATCTTGCAATCATTAAAAACATCCAGCAACATATTTAATTAATGTAAGCGGTTTTTTTTTGTCGTGTGTTGCAAACTGCATTCTCCACGGTGGGTGGTGGGGTGGGTGGGGGGGGGGCATTTAAAGCAGTGTCTCCAGTGCCCCCCCACCCCCACCCCCTGCAACTTAACCCGAGACAGACGGGCTTTTGTTCCAACTGTAACGTGCAACAATGCCATCTGCCCGCAAAAGGGGGGGGGGGGGGGAGCAGGGAGTCTGCACGGACTGCAGTGTGGGGGGGTGGCCGCTGGGGGGCGCTCCACACCCAGAGCCCAGCCAACCCGACCACCACCCGCCCCGACCCCCGCTCCCCCCCCCCCCCCCCCCACACACACACCCCACCCCGCGCTGTAGCCGCAGCCACAGCCACAGCCGCACTGACACTCACTCACTCGCTCACTCAGTCACTCACAAACCACTCACCTTTGCAACAGAAAAGGGGCTTTTTTTAAAAAAAAACACACACATTAAAAAAAGATGCACATCTTATAGCAGATGACGAGACGGTGGTGTCGAGTGACCGCGGACCTCTCCCGGTGGTGGCGGTGGTGGTGGCGGTGGCGCGCGGTGCCACCGTCGCATCAGACATGAAGGCGCGGGCGGGCGGTGGCGGTGTCGGTGCACCGCTCACCCGCACCGCACCGCCCGAGCAGCACATCCGCGCGCTCCGCCTCCCCGCACCGCCGCTCCCGCCACCGTTTGCGTGGACTCCTACCGCAGAGGGCACACGATACCGCGCAAACCCAAGATTGCGGACTTTCAACGCAAAGGGAAAAGACCGCAACGACGACGACCACAAAAGACACACCTTTGTCCACAGAGCTTTCAACACCGTCTACATACATCTGAGTGAAGCCCCACTCCCCACTCCCCCCCGAGAAGCAACTGCACAACGTGGGCACAAAACACTGGCACCGAGAAACTCCATCTGAATGAAGCCACACACACACACACAAAAAAAAATCACGCAAATCCCAGCAAATAAATGGGTTATAAAGACGACGCCTCGTTTTACTCCCTCACTCCCTCCCTCACTCACTCCCTCCCTCCCGAGCAGAGGAGCACATTGACTTACCTTTGTGCTCGCGCGCTCTTTCATTGCAAAAGGAAAGCTCACAAACCACTCACTCTCTCTCTCTCACTCTCTCTCACACACACCACACACACAAAGCTGCTGCACCGGGAAACGGTTCACAAGACACCTGAAGCAAAACAATGCTGTGCTTTCCAAACACTTCATTTTGCAGACTCCCCCCCCCACTCCCCCTCAGGAGCAAACGATACCTTTCCTCAAATTATCCAACTTCCCGCATATTTTTTTAAATACATCAAACGCCCAGTTTTTCGATGTGGGGGCTTTATACACTCGGGGTTGGGAGGGGGTAGGAGGGAAGGAGGGGGGGGGGATCGGTCCCCCCCCCTCGTCTTTTGCAGAGCATCGAGGGCTCTCTTTTTCGAGCACAAAGAAAAATTCCCACAGAAACTCGTGGAGAAGCGTTGATAGTAGTAGCAGCAGCAGCAGCACTCGTAGTAGTAGTAGTAGTAGTCGTCTCGTGTGGTGTGTCCCCCTCTCACCACCGCCACCAAAAAAAAAACACCCGAAAAAATAAAAACCGGGGAAGAAAGAGAGAAGGGGGAGAAAATGCAAAAAAAAAAAAAAAACACGGGGGGGGGGGGGGGTAAAAAAAAATTGAATTGTAAAAGCAAATACACACCTGCCCGTTGGTTTTGGAAGGCGATCCGGCTGCAGCCTCTCCGGCTTTTTCAGCAACAGTTTCGCGGTTTGCAGCGGTCTTGGAAAATTGGGCTCCCATTACTGCTCCAACAAAGAAACTCCTAACCACAGCGAGAGAGGGACAGAGCGAACAAAGACGTTTGGCTTTCCAATGCTGCACACACACACCACACCACACACTCTCTCTCTCACTCTCTCTCACACACACACACACACACACACAGGCGGACAGACAGACACAAGTCGAGGGGGTGGGGAGGGGGGTGGGGGGGGGGAGGGAGGGAGAAGGCAGGAAGGAAGGAAGGAAGAAGCGCTGGAATCACACCCTCGGCTTTAAACAAAGTTGCCTGCAATCCAAACCCCGCGCAGAGCAACGAAGAGAGGAGTTGGCGGTGGGGTGTGGAGAGAGAGGGGAAAAAAAAGCAGTCGAGAGAGAGAGAGAGAGAGAGTGGGGGCAGGAAAAAAAAAACCCCAGGAGCCACACGTTGCAAGTGGTGAGAGAGAGAGAGAGATATATATATATATGTATATATATATTTTTTAAAAATCCTTCAGATTTGTGGCTTTTCGCTTTCTGGACGGGGGGAAAAAATGGAGAAATCTCCCTGAGCGCTAATAACATGCAGAGTCCAACGCCCAAATGCATAGATGAATGGGCTCGTTAGCAATGACGCCAACCGGAGCCAGTCCCCGCCAATCACAGCCTCCCAAACCCAGGGCCTGTCACTCACACCCCCCCCAACCCCCCCCCCCAAACCCCCCCCACCCCGGGGCGGGGCCTCCGATTGTAACAAACAATCAGGGGGATTTTTTGGAGGGGGGCAAAAAAAAATTCATATAGTTTCAATCTTTTTCTCCCCCCCCCCTCCCACCCCACCCACCATCACCCCCTTCAACACACAACCCCCCCCCCCCCCACAACCCCTCCCCACCTGCATTTACTCATTAGTTAAATGAGGTCGCACCACTCTCTGCCTTTCTCATCAAATGCATTCAACATAAGGTGGTTTTTTTTATTTTTAAAAAATATTGTTGGATGTGTTCGATCCCCCCCCCCCCCCCCACAACCCCTTCTTCTTCCTCCTCCTCTCTCTTCTCTCCCTCCTTCCCATTTCTCCTCCTTCCACTTTTTTTTAAAAAAATTCTCTCTCCTCTGCCCCCTCCTCCCTCCCTCCCTCCCTCTCCCTCTCTCCCTCCTTCCTTCCCATCTCACATGAAATGGCTTCACACAGTTAATTGGGATTCAATCAAGTAATGGCAATTTCTGATGCTGGAGATTCGAGATGTGCAGATGATAGTGAAAAGACCACGAATTCTCCCGACAGGAATAGATATGACAAAGAGGGAGAGGGGATGGGGGGGGGAGGAGTGGCAAAACATTTATTTCTGTCTCGTCAAGAAATACTTGTTCAAATCAAAACATTTAAGATTTTAAACATTTAATCCCTGCCTTTACTATCCTGTCAAATAGCCAGGAGAGCCGACGGAAAATGTAGGCGCCAAAGGAACATTTCCCCCTACAAGTTCTTTATGGCCACTTGTCTGTTCACAAAGAGAGTGGTGATGTGCGTGTGTGTGTGTGTGTGTGTTATTCAATGTACAACGAAACAATCTGTTACCATTTCTCCTCTCGACTGATAGTCTGTTCTTACTGTGTGGTTGCAAAATGGGAGGAGGGGTTGTCTCCCCCACTCCCCCCCCCACACACACACACACACATTTTCCATTCGCGAAAGAAAGTGGGTGGAAGAGAAACGGTTAAACTCCGGATCGCAGAACGAAGAAGGACAACGTGAAATGAGTATTTTTTAAAAAAAAACACAATTTTTTTCTGTTTTTTCAAAAAAAAATGTGTTTTCCAGCAGCAGCAGCAGCAGCAGCAGTCGGGCTGAGTTGCAAATGGATCTGCCATCGTCACCGACTACTCAGATCTGCTTTTCCAACCATCCCGTCTGTCGTGTCTGGAGAGGCTCAGCAAACATTTGGTGGCTTAAGCAAATTAATTCGTAAAGACGCGAGGATAAATGATCGATTCCTTTCCTCTTGCATTCCCCCCCCCACCCCCCTCCCACCCCTGGTGTGTAGTAAATACACTGCACATGGTTCCTGGGATTTTACACTGGGACTTAGCCTTGTGATGGCGAGTGAGTGATGATCCACTGTTAGATGGAGTCAGTGAGTGGAGTCGGTGAGTGGTTTCTGCTCCCCCTTCCCTTCTCCTCAGTTACATGGTGGGCTGTGGGCTCAGTCCATCCAAACCAACTCAACCGACCCCTCTCCCTCTCTTCTCCCTCTTCCCCCTCTCTCTCTGCCCTGGGAAGCGAGTTGCAGTTTCCATGGCGACCTCCTGAGCACATTCAACCCAAAGATGATCCAAGAGCAAGAAATGGATACCACTAAACCCCCCCTCAGACACACACACACACACACACACTGGAGGGACAGACAGAAAAAAAAAGGGTGGGGGAGAGAGAGAGAGAGAGAGAGAGAAAAGAGACACAAACGAGGTAGAGCCTCGTATGGATTCACTTGAAATCGATCGGGCTGCAACAGCTGGCGAGGAGTGGGAAACATTTAACAGAGACCATTTTTATTTGACATCAGGAAGAAACGACAACCGTGAGGGTCGATGCTCAATGGCTTCTCTGCTTCTCTGCACACACACACACCCCTCCCCACGCCTTCCCTCTCCTCCACTTGCAAAGAAGTCAGTGGCAGTCAGAGACTTGCACTGCCACCTTTATGTAAAACCCAGGCGAGGGGAGGGCGCTAGAGCTGCGATCTGCCACCAGGGATTTTTTTTCCCCCCCTCTTCCCCCCCCACCCCATCCCCACCATCCCCACCGCCCCTCTCTTTCTTGCAACGATTTGCTCAAATATCTGGTCTTGGACGAATCGCTGGAACACACGACGTTGAGAAATAATGCAACATCCTCCCTCGTTTATGTCGTGCAGTGCAAAAAGCGAATCAAGACAGATGTTTGGTATTTTTTTTCTGGAAAGGGTTTTTTTTTCCCCCGGGTGCAGTTGAATTTATTGAGAGCCGACAAAAAAAAAAGCCTGCAGTCAAAAGTCCCCGTGAATTTTGCTGACGATCGTGCAACCCTGACTGAATGGCATTTGACTTGCACCAGGTCCCAGTTGCTACGCGATTCAAACAAGGGCGTGGAATCATGTCTTGGTATTTCAAGAATACAGATTAGTTTCCATTTCATGTGAATTTAGTTCAATGGCCACAGAAGGGTTCCCTTCGTGCAATACTGTATAATGGCTACAATGTAAATCATAGCCCTACACAAGCTGTTTCCCTGTCATTGGGTGGACCAGGTCGGAATCACATATAGTCTTGTAAATGTCACATTGTAAGTGTCCTACACACACTATACAGCAGCAAACAATTTACATTTATATAGGACATCTCAAAGTGCTTCACACAATTGGTTTGGGAGTCTGGGGAGCTGAAGAAGGAAGGGAGGTGACTGAACGCACAGTCAACACTATACAAAACCTGTGAACCCTCAATCACTTCCAACACTGGATCATATGTACTGTCAATACTCCAATACTTGTGTAGATCTTAAACTTCCAAAATATTACAATAGGGAATGACGCGCAGGTAGAAAAGATGGGACATCTTGACATAGGACAGACTTATGAATGCTCAACATTTTTACAATTCCAACGTTTATGACATTAGAACAAAATGACCTGACGATTGTAACTCACAGATAATCATCTATTAACATTAAAGTAACTGACTAAACTATAGCATCAGTTCTATGGGATAACAAGTTAAACAGCTTAGATGTAAATAAGAAACAGTCTTTCTCCCCTATCAGCTAATTCCAGTCCCCGAGCCAAGACTGTGTTTTATCAAATTTACCTGCTGCTCTTGTATGTATTAGTACAAGATTTATTGACATTGTTTCCAATGACTCAAGTGTCTTACAGGAGGACCTTTCTTGCAAACCCTTGTTTACCCTTGTAAAAGCCTAAGAATTTCAGAAATGTTAATTATTTCAATAGGAATTGATGGGGATATGGAGGGGGGGTGGGGGTGTCTGGAGTCTGATTGACAGGGAAGTGACAAATTGCTTGCAACCTAAATGGTTAACTAGATAAGGACCAATAGATATAGGCTATCTGGAAACAAATTGATGTTGTAACGAAGGTTTTAAGGTCGTATTGGGTCTGTCCACAGATAATTGGTACTGGTGAGCAGGTCCCTTTACTTTGATAAATTTCAGCTGGGAGGTTTGTTACTGCAGACTCATCTATTGGTTCAGCAGTCTGTGACAACAGACACATCACATTATTACACAGACTATCTCATGAGGATCCACAGTTGGAAAATCTTTGTAATTTTAAACCATGTAACACCACCAATGCACATTTGTCTTGCACCTTTTTCACACAGCCTAAATTTTGTTCCCTATGGCCTCCACCTTCTGACATTCTTGGTCACCCTAATGTACACAGCAGTCCTACAACGTTATAGTTGAGAAACATCCATCCTTCCTGTCTATATTTTTAGATCCTTCCAGGTGCTTGCTTTTGTTTCTACCACTTGTCTGGTTAGAGGAGGGAAATGGTGTTCGCTTGGCACTGAATTGCCTTCACAGTAATGTGCCTGGCAATAGAATACTGCATCAGCGGCAGTGGCTGCGGCATCACCAGCACATTTGTATAGCGGGAGGACATCCCAAGATGCTGGACAGTCAGTGTTTCAGACCGAGCTGGTGGTCGGGATCGGGGAGGGCAGAGGGGGGAAGGAGGGTGATCAAAGGCACAGTCGAAGAAGAGGGCCTTGAGATGGGTCTTGAAGGAGGCAAGGGAGAGGGCGAGGCGGAGGGACTGCGCGATGAAGTTCCAAAGGGTGGGGGCGGAGTGGCTGAAGGCCTGCCTGCCAATGGTGGGGTGGGCAAGGTAGGGCGCATGAAATAGGCTGGAGCCCGCTGAACAGAGGGAGCAGGCAGGTTGGTAGGGGGATTAGGAGGTCTCAGAGGTAGGGGGGAGCAAGTCCATGGAGGGCTATGAAGGTGTGGACCAGGATGTTGAACTGCATCCTCTGTGTGATGGGAAGCCAGTGGAGTCCTGTGAGGATGTGGGATGATAGGGTCACAGAGCCTGGTGTGGAAGAGGACATGGGCTGCAGAGTTCTGAATGATCTTTAACCTATGGAGGGAGGAATTGGGGAGGCCGACAAGCAGGACGTTATTTGGGTTTAGCTGGTCAAACTTCTGCAATATCTCAACCCACATACCGGGCAGACCTGCAAACCTGCACTTAATACTTGGGATTAGACAAGAAGAGCCTGTTCCCCACAGGAAAGAGTGCACACTTCATTCCAGATACAAGGAAATTTCTATACAGAGATGACATGCATGTGTAGAATTCTCAGTCTTGTTTAGATATTGTGGGATTGTTTCGCCCACAAAATATACAGTCGATTCACTTTACAGTATATTCTGTGAAACACTTTGAGATGTCTCGAAAATGTGATAAGGCGCTATATCAAATTCAAGGATTATTATTATATTCTTAAGCATCATGATCTGATCAGTTTCTGGCAGCTACATGACTAATTTAAATCCCTTGTTCTAGGTTCTGGCTCTAAACTTGCATGAAATATTCTTTGAAACTAGTCAGTGGTACAGTATTTAATGAGAAAAAGAGGTTCAACAATAATCTCTGCATAGAAAAGGGGACAAAATAAAAAAAAACAAGGCTGCTCTTGTATAACCCCCTTATGATGAATATTAGTATGAGATTTATAGAAGCCTTACTTCACTTTCTTAGCTGGGAATGTTTGAAATAAAAAGATTCGAGACGTCGGAATGGAAGAGAATTTCTTGACAAAGAGGGAATTTCAGCCTCACTAGGGGGAAAAAAAGGCAATCTTTAGCATTCTGGGATTGTTTAGTGTTTTCTACAGTCACTATTCCCCAATTCTCTGGAATTCCTTTCCCCGATCCCTTTGTTTTGCCCCTCTACATCTTCAAATCATACCTGAAGACTTTCCTCTTTGACTGTGCCTTCGATCACCGCCCTTCTCTGTCCAGCTCGGGATCAAACCACACCACTGTTAAACTCTCCGAGACCCTACCCGAGTGAACTGCAAATGCAAGTTACTGTTGTACATACAGTATTATTTTCAGTTTTAATAAAATCAGATTAGTTCATTTAAAAATAGTTGGAATTCATTTACAGCATATACTTTGTACAGTTACAGGATGTACTTTGTACATTATTTCACTTTGTTTTAGACAGCTACATAACTGCACTCGAGATCAATAATTAGTTATATATTTCTGTCACACAATACAGATATTAATGTACTAGTTAGCTCCTACTTTACTATGACTTTGACGTACTTAATGAATGTTCTGACCACTTCAACTATGGAAGCATGTGCAGCCTTTCCCTGGCTTGCTTTGCCTCATCGGGACATACAGGGACAATGCTGAGTGCCTGTGGGTCATGTACAGCAAAGGTCACAGGCAGCATTGGTTTTCTACCAGAGTTTTATAACAAGGCGTTTCAGCCTCATGTTTGAAGAGTGCTCATTGTCCACATGATCAATCCTGAGTCTCCATTCTCATACATAGCTTTAATACCCTGTGGAGTCACTCCAAATTAACAGCTGCTCTGAATTAAGAGCACTCTGTAAATCAGACTAAGAGTGCATCCTGTAGCTCAGTTTCTTCAGGGCTTACTCCTAATGATTTTATGTCAAAAAAATTAAACTGCACAATGTTGTCTTATATGTACATATTTCTTGATTTCAGCTTCATAATACTGTATTCAGCATTTTAACTCCAGAAACTCATTATAAATCACTATTCTCGACTGAAACTGTTTTACATTTGATTCAATTTACTGTGGTTCAAGGATAAGATTAATAGTTAGATTAACACGTAGAAATGCAGTAATATTTTTTAGATTAAAAATTTTGCTAAACAATAGATGGAGTTGATTGAAAACAACTATCAAGGAAACCAGAATACAGGCATCGTTGTGAAAGAAAGGATATCAAGCAGATTAATTTTTGTGAAAAAAAATCTGGGCACTACCTTGTGCAGCACAAACACATACAAACTCATAATCTGTAGTCGACTCTATTGAGAAATCTTAGGCAAGGAACAGGTTGGGATGCTATGAATGGTCTCAATAACAACTTGCAAATTTCACATGAGGTAACATCTCAGAGCGCTGTCTCAGTATCCCTGGCCTAAAGAGGCGAAAAAATCATCCAGGGTTTCCAATTCTGATTGCTATTCCATTAACCTGTTGGAAAGTGTGTGTGTGTGTGTGTCTTTGTGTATGTTGACATTTGTTGAAGGCAAGATTGGATTCAACTCTAATGTTCCCACCCAGCACCCTCTGGGTTGAACAGGCTGCCAGCAGTCATTCACTGGGCAGGCAATTTGAGTGAGGTAGTGGATATACTTATTGATCTTTAGCAAGAGTCAGCCCATCTTTGAGAGTAGAAAAAAGGGGATAATACTAGCAAAATAATATGATTAAAGACAGCGTTCCAATTCACTACTTGATGGTAATGATATAATGATACATTTTCTATTCTTTTATAGATTTTGCATCTGTCCCCATGTTTATCTTTGTTAATTAAAAAGATACAATAAAATACATCAGCATCCGGTGATGCACAGCCCATTTCAAGGTGTCATTTGCATAATTTCTGTGGGCGTCAATGGAGAAAATAGTTTAAATCATATTCTAATTGGCCACCAACCTACTGTATGTTGTTTTACAATTGAACTAATGACTCCTTAATGTAATCCTTAGATGCTTATGAGAGCAATGATGCAGTGTAAAAACATACTGAAGTGACAATTTCAATCTATCAAAAATAGTAAGATAAATATTTGATGTTGCCATGCATTTCGCTTTATAATTCTCTAAACATTCAAAATTCATTAAGACCATTTTCTAAATCAAAGAAAATCATTTCTAATCTTAAAATAACTAGAGTTCCCAAAAACTGAAGAAGTCCAGGAGATATCTATTAGCAAAGGATTTGAACTTTTTAGTTTTTTTGCTCAGTGGATGGAAGTGTTGCTGGTGACTTTTTCCAAGTTTTCTAGATTTTGGAATGAAGGCTCATCTCTGAGTTACAAGGTTGTGGATTCAAGTCCTATTTGGGTACTTCAAGATCATAGTCTAGGATAACACTAGGGCAGCGCTGTATTGTCAGAGGTGCCATCCTTCAGATGAAACATTAAACCAAGATTTTATCTGCCTGTTCAGGTGGATGTTAAAAATCCTAAAGGCATTATCATCAAATATTGCTGGTCGGCATTTGCCAAGATAGATGTACAGTAAAACTCCTTCTACTCTGCAAAAATAATAATGTGTCTTAATTCTAATATCAGAACAGTGCTCCCTGGTTCCACCAATGGGATTTTTTCCATTTTGCAGCCCAGCCACCCTAATACTATAATTTGTGAATAAGATTGCAAATTCGTTGTCAACTAGTGTCAACAATGAACAGCTTTGTGCTGTGGTCCTATGCCCAATAAGAAGTAGATCTGGTCAAACTCATTTCATGTAGGTTTATCGCTGCCATCAAAGTGAGGGGAATCCTCCCATCAATCTGAATTCTATACAAATTCAGGCTCAGAGGTGAAAGTACAGTGTGTAATCACTGTGCCTGTGAGTCTCCATTGTATAGTCCTACAATTAAGTTCTTATATTTTGTCAAACTATTGATTCAATCCGTAAAATACTGCGTATGTTGGAAATCTGAAACAATACCAGAAGTCGCTGGGAACACTCAGAAGGTCAGGAAGCATCTACGGAGAAAGGAAAGTGAGTCAACGTTCTGGGTCCACGCTGTTCTGATGAAAAACCAGAAAACTGCCAGGTTTGATCCCCTGTCTTGGTTGAGGTAGTTGATATCAAATGGAAAGGCAGTAGGGTGCAATAACTAGCCTGGCCTCAGTAGTCCAGGGTTTGGGACAGAAAATAATCAGGGCTGCTGTTGCTGATCAGGGAAATAAGTAACCATCAGGCCTGACTTTGATGCACACAGTGAACAAATAGACTGCCAACATTCACAAATAAAGAATACAGTAGTTATCTGGGGCTGGTTGCCAACTTCACCCCAGTAGAAGTCAGTGGCTCGAGACAAGGGAACACAATTGGAGAGAAAATAGAAAGAAGAGACTGTTTTTTCTTTCCTTATCTGAATATGAGTAAATTGTCAAAGAAGAATTTACATAACAGATGAGATGCTCTTTGTGCTTAAAACACAACTCTGTACTGCAGGTATTTTATGTGATAAGACAAGAGATTGGGCTTAACTGACAGGATTGTAAAAGAAACGAAACAGAAACAAAAGAATGTTCATTGTTCCATTTGCTCATTTAGCAAGACTTCAATTTCCAGTTTACATTTGTTGAGTTTATTTTAAAGTACTAGTCCATCATAGAAACAACCAGTTCCCTCACATGATTCAGACCCTGACTCAGAGAGAAGTGAAACTATAGCAGGGTTTCCCGATGAAGCAGTCTGGGTTGACATTTAAAAATATTTTATTATGTAATCAAATCAGCTGGTTTGATATTGAACATTTTTGTACCATGTTTTGCATTTCATTATCTGCGAAGTGAAAGATAACAGCATAAACAGCAGCACAATTCTAAACACTGCAGTATAATAATAATATAACAATCCTTACATTTGATATAGCACTGTTCATGTCTTCTGGACGTCTCAAAGCGCTTCACAGAATAGACTGTAAAGTGAATTGACTATATATTTGTGGGCGAAATGCGGCAGTCAATTGCGCACAGTAATGTTCCACAGACAGTCATGGATTGAAGTGACCAAGTTATTATTGTTTTTTTTTGAAGGATTATTATCAGGCATGTGGAGTAAGGAAACTTGCCCAAAGTTTCATCCTGCCGGGAAACGAACCCAGGTCTCACGCTTGCAGAGTGCTCTAATCACTGAGCTACACATCACAAGGCTGAGCAGTGGCAATGGAAGCGAATCTGTGCGTCTGAAAATTACTGTAAAGAATGCAGTATTGCTAATGAAGGGAATAGGCAGAGAGTTTTCAGGTTAAAATAAAACCAGGGTAGCTAGTAAAAACATCATTACTGTGCAATCAACTAGTCTGGAAGATGAAAAAGTAATTGAATATATATCTTTCCAGCACAAGGAACCGGCATTGCTGCCTTTTCTGACCTCTACATGTTGAACAAACAGGAATGAAATGTCAGGAGATTGTACCCAAAGATGAATCTCTGCATTCTCGGAAACCAGAGTCAAAATCTTTGGCAAAAAGGGAGGAATCAGCCAAATTTATTTTACAAACAGCTTGTTAAAGACAAGGAAAGAGGAACTCTTGGAGCATTACACAACTGTCACAACAGAGATGGGGGTAGAGTAAAATAGGTTCTCCTAAACAAATTCACTGTATTACACTTGATTCATCTATTTTCCACTTGTGAGATATTGCTGCAAGCAATAAGCTTCCATTGCCAAAATAGCAACAAACACTGGACTTCAAAGTGTCTCTGTGTGAAGCATTTTTAAACATTCTGTCGCATTAAGGTTATACCAAATACAAACATTATTATTTATATTTCTAACATTTATCAGTTTCTCCAAATGGTGTATGTATATATGTTGGGTTGTTCTATAGCGGTATTCCAGGGCTCTGCTGTTGACAGCAGCTAGCCTGTGTCATTGGCAGGACACCTCCCACTCAGCTCTTGTTAACCCTGCAAGCCAATGTCATAATGGGTAAGGTAGTCCTAGCTGGAAAGCTTGCCAGACAATGATATCAATGGCAAGCTGGGATTTCAGCTGGTTAGATACTCCACGTTCTTGCTGCCCCTACCTCTCCGACCTCATAACCCCACATCAACCTGTCCGCTCCCTCCGCTCGGCTTACACCGACCTGCTTCAAGGTCCTCCGCATCTCTGCCCCCACACTCTGGAACTCTATCCTGCAATCCCTCTGCCTCACCCCCTCTCTTGCCTTCTTCAAGTCTCATCTGAAGACCTTCCTCTTCGACTGTGCCTTCGGCTCTCCTCGCACCCCCACCCACCCTGTCCTCCTTTACTTTTGACCCAACTCCCAGCTCAGGT